TGAAAAAGAAAACAGCCATTAGGAGGATGTGTCATGAGAGCCCTAGACAAAACAAGACCCTTGAATTTAAAAAAAAAAAAAAAAAAAACCTGCCTTCTATTTGGGGATCTGTATCTTCTGTTCTTACCAGGATGCACAGAGGTTTTGAAGTTTCTAATGTTTTAATTACAGTTTCACACAGTCCTGTCTTTTTCTACAAGCAGAGTCTCCTTTGAAGGAGAAACCACAAGAGATGTTCCCCTGCTTTGAAGTGTTCTATTTACAAATGCACAACTTAAACAGACATGACAGGGGCACAGGAGCAAGCACACAGGCTGACAGGAGGAGCCCCAAAGCAATGCCAGCCAGTCACTGACAAAATCTCAGCATCTTACATCAATGCTACCTTGTAGAAAACACTCTGTGATAACATCTGAATTACCTTCAAGATTCAGCCTTGTAGGGTTGGGTTTTTTCGGGCTGTGTGGCCATGTTCTAGAAGAGTTTCTTTCTGACGTTTCGCCAGCATCGGCGGCTGGCATCTTCAGAGAATGCTGGAATGGAAGAGAGTGGGTCTGTCTCACAGTATATATAGACCCACTCTCTTCCATTCCAGCATTCTCTGAAGATGCCAGCCACAGATGCTGGCGAAACGTCAGAAAGAAACTCTTCTAGAATATGGCCACACAGCCCGAAAAAACCCACAAAAAAACTAGTCTCTCTCCGTTCTTATATTCCGCCCATAAGCCCCATGTTTATTTTTACGGAGGAAGAGAGACAGGGAGAATTTTTTAAAACATCAAACAGCATTTCAGCTAAGTCTGCTCTGGATCCCAGAAGGATGCAGCTAATCATTTATATTTATTAGAGTGCCTAACAAAGCAGGGAAAAAAATAATTGGATATTTTGCCAAGAAATCTTGGCTCCTGCCTTCTCCAGCTGCTTTGAATAAAAAATAAAGATATACCTAAGGGGGCACATTACAGAATACAGAGCATGGAATATTCTAAAATGGATAGCTGGATTTTAGGTGTTGCCTTCTAGGACAGGAATGGGATTAGATTAGAATAATAGAACCAGCAAGTTGGAAGGGATCCCAAAGGCCAGTTAGTCCAATCCCCTGTCACTGCAGGAAACCATTGCTAAAGCAGCCTGGGAGGTGGCCACCCAATTTTTGTTTAAAAACCTTCAATGAAGGAGAATGCACCACTTTCCAAAAGAGTTTATTCCACTGTCAAACATCTCTTACTGTCAGGTGCTGAATTATCCCATTATCTTGATGCTGTTTATCTGTACACTCAGCAGCTATAGCCAGCATAGCCAATAGTGAAGAATAGTGGAAGCTGCAATTCAACAAGACTTGGATGATGATGATGATTATGATGATGATGATGATGATGATATTTTTATTTGTATTTCCCGCCTCCCCCTGTGGATCGAAGCGGGATAACAAGTAATATAAAAATACAAAACATAAAATATATAAAAAACCATAACAACAATATTCCCCCGCCCACAATAAAACCCCATAATCCCTCTAATTAAAACTAATACCCTATCCAGTGAACCGGTTATCATCATCTTCACACATTCAGGAGGTCATATTGATAAGGCAATTAATTTTATTTATTTATTTATTTATTTTTATTTTTTGCTGCAAAACTTCCACACTCTTCTGGGTTGAGGCCATACAGCATTCGTGGATTAAAATTATTAATCCAGGAACTCTCCCTTCCCTCCTAATGTTCTTGAATCTGATGGTATTTTTATTCCAATCACAACTGCAATCTAGACTCATACAAGTGCAAATATCTAGCCTCCCATCTACAGCGTTGTTGTGTCACAAAACCTTTTGTATCATAAATTCTATCAATCACACTTTCAAAGCACCTGGCTCCCAACATGATAGAAACAAAAAGGTCACCTTTTTTTGAGAAAGGCACTGATATCCTTCCAGGCATTCTGCTGTTCTATTTTAATTTGAAGGACATAAAGTAATATTGATGGGAAGAAACACAAGAAAACAAAAATAATAATTTCCCTAACAGTGGGAAACCGGGTAAATGTTATTTACTAACAAAGTCTGAAGAACAAAAATGAAAAAGTGTAGTAGTATGATCAGCAATAACTTTACCAGCTGTGACTAAAATAATTGTCTATGACTTACCTAGACTACCTCTATATCCTACTTGAGGTACAGGCTGAGTATCCCTTATCCAAAATGCATTGGTCACAAAGATTTTTAGATTTTGATTGTTGTTGTTGTTGTTATATGCATGTATTTGTGTGTAGGAACTGAGCAAAGTGAGGGTGGGTTTGGGTTGGGGAGGATTCATTGTTGAGATTTTATTACTGTAAGCCGCCCCGATTGCTTCGGTAGAGGGGCGGGAGAGAAATAATTATTATTATTATTATTATTATTATTATTATTATTATTAT